GTGTGTGTGTGTGTGTGTGTGCGCGCGCGTGCCTTACCTGAAGGTCTTGTTTGCAGGAAGACTGGAGGTACCTGTTCGACATCGAGTTTGAGTCCCCTCGAACACCATCGACATCCTCTCCGCCAAAGCAATGTAACCCACATCGATCGTATGACGTATCAGGGGATACCTCGGAGTTGTCAGGTCACGCCGAACTTCTGCCATCTTGCGCCACAAAAAAAACGTCATCAATCACGAAATAGTTTTAGCGAAATCTCATTTTGTCACTTAAGGGTCTCATCGCATCTCTCCAAGACACGGAACTTGGGATCAAAACGACCTACATGGTCATGGTGTCGGATGAACAAAAACGGCCCCTGCCAAGCGTGGTAGTTTCGCATGATACGAATGAACATCCACGTGATCTCATTCCCATACGTGTGTCGGATTGTCTCATCCATAGTGTCATACATGACCCCGATGTCTCTCCACAGCATCTTCATGAGAGGGCAGACACCAAAGCTTAATATCAGTTTCATGGCCGAAGTCACAAATATGTAGATTCGTGGGAAGTCTCCAGGGGTTTCTTGGTCCCGCCTGAGCTTTGGTGCATACATATGATCGTGTTCATCATGTTGACTCGGAGACAAATGCTTCTACTCAGCCGATTGACTCTCTTCCTCCTCCTTTGACTGAGGAGATTGTTGAGGACGAGTCACTCCCTCTTAGGTCGTTCTTCAGCAGCAGACCGACGCCTCCGCACGTCGATAATGCACTCGTCAACGTCATGGGCATCTCGATGACTGACAGTCTTATCACTTATCTATCTCCTACCACTGACTCACACTATCAGGTACACCATCATCAACTTCTTCTAGATGTCAGCCTTTTGTGACTCTTCTCCCAGATTGACTCGACTTTTACTTTATCGACGTCATCAACCACCTCAATGACTTCATTTACTTTATCAGTTTCAACTACGTTCGACGTGATTACTTTACGCCACCACCACACCTTGTGCATTCCCTTGTATGTGTCGCATGATGGTTCTCACTTAGCTGGTTCTCCCTGAGTTGGGCTCTCCCTTGGTATCACATAGGTATTGGGACCGTAGCATTATCTTAGCTTCCCTGCTCCAGATCTAGCTCCCTGAGGCTCTCAGTTAATGAGTTGTGTGCATGTTTCCCTCAACCACTACCCTCATCACCCTAGTGTCTGCCATTACATGTCTTCATTTAGGCATATCTCCACCCTATTCCAGGTTTCCCGTTCATGGTTGACCCTGCATAGTGTCACCCTTTTGTCGAGCATTAACCCATTTGATGTCTATCTATTAGGGTCGTTGGTTTTGTTTCATTATCACTCCCTCACCCTGAGCCTGATGACCTATCCCACCTTGAAGTTTGTGTGTGACTGCCCTTAGGAGTTTCAATTTTATGGTTTTATTCACCCCCTCTAAGACCATCTCACTCTTAGTGGTTCATCGACACGACATTATCTTACGACATATTGCTATCTTTTCCTCTCAACACTGAGGCAATTGCCTCCAGGACTTTAGGATTGTATCTTGCTACATTTCATTTTCTCATGTTAGTTAGGATGTGTATAGTAGACATTTGCTTTTCTTTTGACATTATGTAGCTTAGGCTGTATTGCATGGACTCTGCATGGAGTTTGCTTCGCATCCCAGATTTCTCAACTTTATTGCTACAGAGTTCCGTTGCTTTGGTGAAAGCGTGTTTATGACTTTTGTGATCCACTCTAAGTCTTAGGATCGTGCAACGTGCCTATGGTTGCCTTGGCCTAGAGCCAGGGTTATTCAACTATTTGTCTGCACGACCTATGAGACCAGGTGGTGGACTGACCCCACAGACCCTATGTTGTTCACTCCAGTGCAGTTCTGCCCGGTACCACTGTCGGTACCAGGTCAGTCCAATCCAGGCCAGTCCTTCCGCTGGGGGTATACCCCAGTTCCAGTCTGTTTTCAGGATCATTCTTTTCATCAACACATTTTGGAGTACGTGCGTGTTGAGTCTTCGTTGGAGTTGCGCTGTTTCCAGCTCAGAGTTTATCTCCAACTCCCTCATCCTCACCCTTTCGTCTTGATCATGATGGACCACAATCCAGGCGGGTCCATCACATCCGCCATGTCCCTTCAGGCTTCAACCCACGGGCTGTTGATCCAAAACGAGCTAGCCCGGTGGGCGCAGTATGGTTTCGATTCTTGCATCTGCAGAGTGAGACTCCGATACTCTAACCTACTGGGGGCTAGCTCCTACCACAAAAATGGTAGGAGCGACTTTTCTATAAGAAGAGTTTGCCCCTGTGGTCACCCCTATCCGTGGATCAGCAGGCTTCGTCTGCTCTAACAATTCTTCAAGTTGGCCGCTCGTCTACGGCTTGGACGCATGCTTCGTCTAGTAAGCCAGATTATCAACTTCCAAGCCTTTTGGCGTGGAGTCCCCTGCAAACATACCCACAAAATTAAGTGGTCTCTATTGTTTGTGTCGTGGTCGCGAACCTAATGTGGTCATTATTTTAAGTAGGATAAGTTTTAAATTTCCTATCCCAACGCCCATGTGCCTCTGCGGCCCTGCCAGAAGTGGGATACAGTTTGTCATATCGCTCATTGCCACAATTTTCTTACCGGACGTTATAAATACTGAATTCGTAAAAACCTAACAAAACCACAAAACCTAACATTTTTTATATAATGAAAAAATAAAAGTCAAAACTGTTATATTTTACATATAAAAGAGAACGTTTTTAACTGTTTCCCGATAAAGGAGGCAAAAAAATAGCAAAAAGTCTAGCGATTCTCAAAATGTGTAAGAAAATTATTTCCAATAAAGAACATGTTATAAGACTATAAGTCGTTCTCAATAGATTGATAAAAAGCAAAGCTAAAAAAATACAATCCTCAAGGGCCGCAATATCAACTCGAAAGATGTTAAAAAAAAACAGTTTCAGTGAATACTCATTTATAGAACTATATGTCGTTTTCGAAAGTTTTGTAAAAACCAGGCTCTGC